GTGTCTGTTTTTTCTCCCCTTAGGTGGGACAGCATGGCTAGAGGAGACTGAAGTTATGTATTTCCTTTTTCCCAATGTGGAAGGCTAGAGGGAGCTAGAGTTGAGTATTTTCCTTCCCCCACTTGGGAGGATAGAACTGGTTATTTTCCTTCTCCTAGAAGGGTTAGGCTCTGATGATACCCTAGCAACTTAGACTCTAGTGAAATACTTTCTCCTGAGGGCAGGCTCTGTTAAGAAAAACAGAATAGCCTAACTGCATGGCTCAGTGATTGAGTGTCGACCTATGAACCAGGAGATCATGGTTAGATTCCCGGTCAGGGCACATACCCAGGTTGTGGGCTCGATCCCCAGTGGGAGACATGCAGAAGACAACCAATCAATGATTCTCTCTCATCATTGATGTTTCTCTCTCATTGTTAAGCTCTGGGAGGTAAAACTCACAAAAGTGTGAAGGGCACCTAATGACTGGTTCCTCCTTAAATTTTTTTAAAATATGTTTTTATTGATTTGAGAGAGAGAGAAGGGAGAGGGATAGAGATAGAAACATTGATGAGAGAGAAACATCATTGATTCATCATCAATTGGTGCCTCCTGCATGCTCCCTACAGGGGATCAAGCCTGCAACCTGGCATGTGCCCTGACAGGGAATTGAACCGTGAACTCCTGGTTCATAGGTCCATGCTCAACCACTGAGCCACACCAGCAGGGCTATATTACATTTTCTCAGTGAATTATTTATTGCCTTACATTGTTGCTGTTTTATTAAGAATGTCTCAACCTTCTCACAAATCTGAGTGACCAGAGCATTGCACTACGTGTAGCAATATTTATTGAATAAATGACTGCTAAACAGTGTGGGAGTGTGTGTGTGTGTGTGTGTGTGTGTGTGTGTGTGTGTGAAGATAGCAGTATAAATCAGTACATATTCGAAACTAAGTGGTGAGTGGTATTTATAATAAACAGTGCAAATTTAAAAATAAAATATGAGGACCACTAATGACATGCAAGGCAAGGAGACCAGTGAGGTAGATATTGCAATAGTCCAAACCTGGAATAGTCCAAACCTGGAGGAATGACAGGAGAAGGAATAGACAGATGAGATAGCTATTTCAGATGAAGAGTGAAGAGAATGTGGTAGGGGAAGAAAGAGTTAAAAATGTTTCTTATGTCTCAGCTAAAGAAATGGTAACATTATTGGTGCCAATCACAGAAATGCAGATGTCTGAAGATGCACACTTATAACCTAGCCCTTGGTTCTATCCTTGGCACAGTATCCAGCAGAGTACGTGAGTAAATCTCATTGATTTCAAAGGCTTATTAGTCACAGACATACAGTCTTTAATATATTTTTATTGATCTCAGAGAGGGAGGGAGAGGGAGAGAGAGATAGAAATATCAATGATGAGAGAGAATCATTGATCGGCTGCCTCCTGCAATCGATCGAGCCCGTAACCCAGGCATGTGTACTGACCAGGAATCAAACCATGACCTCTTGGTTCCTAGGTCGACACTCAAACACTGACCCACACCGGCCCAGCCCCCTTAATACATTGTGGATGGATCACGAGAATTCTAGCTTCATATTACAGTGTTTTACAGAGTATCACACTTTAAAAAATATATTAGCTTGTAAGAATATGTAATAAATAACTTCAAAATGCAATGGGTATTTAATTTAATATAATTTTATTTTTTTAATGTATTTTATTGATTTTTTACAGAGAGGAAGGGAGAGGGATAGAGAGTTAGAAACATCGATGAGAAAGAAACATCGATCAGCTGCCTCCTGCACACCTCCCACTGGGGATGTGCCCGCAACCAAGGTAGAATCGAACCTGGGACCCCTCAGTCCTCAGGCCGACGCTCTATCCACTGAGCCAAACCGGCCAGGGCAATGGGTATTTAATTTTAAAGTGTGCCTTTAATGTTTATGTAAAACGTTTTCTGTACTCCTTCAATAGAAATTTATCTGGCCACTGGGTAAAGCTAGCAATAAAACTACTGGCCCTCAATGTGTTAAGTTTTTAATTTTCAGAGTTGTCCACACTGAACTTCCAGTAATTTATCAATCATGTTTTTGTTTTTCCTACCCCAGCACTGGTTCTCAAGGAGGTTTCTGTTCATGTGTTTTTGCACCAGTAAGTTGTGATTCTCTGTATCCCCGTCTTTCCAAGTTTTGGTGCAGCAGTATGCCCTGTGACCTTATTTGATGGATCAAAAAGTGAGTTGTTGATTTTTCAGTTTGTTCAGGTTTTTACTTGTTGTTAGGACAGAGTGGTGACTTCTAAATTATTTACATACTGGACTGGAAATTGGAAGTCTTCCAATTTTTCAAAATTTTTTATAAAACTGGACCTCCAAGTTAACATTGTTGACAACTCCCACTTTCAGGAAAAACTATTTTCTTGGCTTCTATGATACCATATTCTGCTTATTTTCCTCCTTCTCTCTGTTCACTCTTCCTTTTCTACCTGAATGTAGATTTTTCCAAGGATTGATCCTGGACCCCTTTCTCTTATGAACTCTATATTCTTTCTCAGGTGATTTTATCCATTTCCATGAACTTAATCATATCTATAATATTATACACTCCTCTTCTGTTTTCCTGGCTTACACATTTATAGCCAATGGCTCTTCCAACATTTTCATCTTTGTGTGTCCTCAGACTTCCTGCCTTTCCTATCACATTAAATAGCACTTTTATCCACCAAAGCTGCTTAAGACAGAAATCTAACGGTCTTTGTTGATGCCTCTCACTCCTTCATCCTCTATATTCAATCCATGAACTTTATAGGCAAAATTATCTTGAGTTTATGCATATTTCTTGTCCTCCCTATTCCTAGTCACTGTATACAATGACATTATGGGAAGAGTACAGGTTTTAGATCCAGAAAGACCTGCCACAGCTTCTTAAACATATTGGTTAACATGTAAACCTCATTTTTCTCAGCTATAAAAAGGTAAAAACAAAGCAAGCAAACAAAAAGCTTACCTGATAGGAATGCATAAATAGAGATATAATTAATGAAAAGTGCTTAGAATAATGCTTAGCATAGAGTAGCCATGTAGACAGTAGCTCCTGCTTATCTAAATAAAGTCCAAAGACCTGTAGATTCCAGGCCTAATATAGTAATTCACAAGTATTCCTCAGCCTAAAGCACTGCTCTGGCTACATAGCAAATGTCTTATTGATTTAATGATTAATAGAAATCCAATTATCCAAAATGAAGTTGGAAAAATTATAAATTTTAATTAACTTCCATTAAACTTATATATGTTACATACTCATGTAACAATAATCCTATCTAATAAAAGAGAAACATGGTAATTAGCCATACCTCCGCTACACTTCCCATTGGCTAATCAGGGCGATATGCAAATTAACTGCCAGCCAAGATGGTGGCCGGCAGCCAGGCAGCTAGAAGCGAACAGGAGGCTTGCCTGCTTCAGTGACAGAGGAAGCCAACGTTCCCTGCCTGCCGCTACCGGCCTCTGAGCTTGCAGTTTGAAACATTGTTACAAATATAGAAGCTAAACAAAACCCTAGTAACCTGCTTTCAGCCAGCCGGGATCTCAGAGCTGGAGTTGAAACAGTGTTTCGATTATAGAACCCAAACAAACCAGATACCTGCTTTCAGCAGCCAAGGCCTCAGAGCTGGAGCCAAGCCTCAGAGCTAAAGCTGGCCCAGAATTAAAAAAAAAAGAAAAAAAGGAGAGGTTGGGAGCTTCAGTCACCCGCCAGCCTGAAAACAGCCCTCAGCCCCTCACCCAGACTGGCCAGGCACCCCAGTGGGGACCCCCACCCTGAAGGGGGTGTGACCAGCTGCAAACAGCCATCATCCCCTCACCCAGGCTGGCCAGGCACCCAAGTGGGACCCCCACCCTGATCCAGGACACCCTTCAGGGCAAACCAGCTGGCCCCCACCTGTGCACCAGGCCTCTATCCTATATAGTAAAAGGGTAATATGCCTCCCAGCACCAGGATCAGCAAAGCCACGAGGCCTCCCGGCACCGGGATCAGCGTGACAGGGGGCAGCGACCAAACCCCCTGATGGCCCTGCGGCTCTGTGTGTGATAGGGGGTGGGGCCACAACCTCCCTATCCGCCCTGCTCTGTTCCTGACAGGGGAAGGCGCCCCAACCCCCTGATCAGCCCTGCTCTGTGCCTGATAGGGGGGAGCTCCCTAATCCCCTGATCGCCCTGCGGCTCTGTGTTTGACAGGGTAGAGCCATAACCTCCCCATCGGCCCTGCCCTGAGTGTGACGGGGGCGGTGCCCCAACTCCCCTATCGGCCCTACTCTGTGAGTGACAGGGGGGAGCTCCTCAACCCCCTGATCGGCCCTGCTCTGTGCGTGACAGGGGGGGAGCTTCCCAACCCCCTGATCGACCCTGCTCTGTGCGTGACAGGGTACGGAGCCCCAACCCCCCTGATGGGCCCTGCTCTGTGAGTGACAGGGGGCAGCGCCCCAACCCCCTGATCGGCCCTGCTCTGTGCGTGACAGGGGGTGGCACCGCAACCTCCCCATCGACCCTGCCTTGAGTGTGACAGGGGGCGGTGCCCCAACCCCCCAAACGGCCCTACCCTGAGCGTGACTAGGGGTGGCATCGCAACCTCCCGATCTACCCTGCTCTGTGCATGACAGGGGGCGGCGCCCCAACTCCCCAATCGGCCCTGCTCTGAGCCCGACCAGGGGCTGCACCTAGGGATTGGGCCTGCCCTCTGCCACCTGGGAGCAGGCCTAAGCCAGCAGGTCGTTATCTCCCGAGGGGTCCCAGACTGCGAGAGGGCACAGGCCGGGCTGAGGGACCCCCCCTCCCCCCCGAGTGCACCAATTTTTGTGCACCGGGCCTCTAGTGTAATATAATTGCTAAACTCAAAAAGTGTTTTGAATTATTGACTTAAATAGCTGAAAAATTATTCCTATAAAAGTGTTGGTTAAAAATATGTCCTATGTTAATAAAATTTACAGTTTATATAGCTATTCTGCTTTAATACTTGCTTTTTTCTTTGTTTTTTCAGGTGTTAAAGGGTAAGTTTTCTCAGCAAGTACTTCACAAGCTGCATTATCTACAAATAAAAACATACTTTACAATTTTAATTATTTAATTTATCATTCACTATAAGTACAGAAAACTCAAATATGAAAAACACTAATAACTGACTTTGTAATAATTTTAGAAGAAAAAATATATATGTTGAATAATCTGACAGATAGAATAAAGTATTCTTTAAAATATATTTATCTCAAGAGTTCCAGGTTTCACAGGAGTAATTAAACTCTATATAAAATGCTGATAGAAAAGTTGCAGTAGAAAGAAAGAGCCTGGCCTGGCTGGTTTGACTCAGTGGATAGAGCGTTGGCCTGGAGACTGAAGGGTCCCGGGTTTGCTTCTGGTGAAGGGCACATGTCTGGGTTGTGGGCTCGATCCCCAGTAGGGAGCATGCAGGAGGCGCCAATCCATGATTCTCTCTGATCATTGATGTTTCTCTCTCTCTCTCTCCCTCTCCCTTCCTCTCTGGAATCAATAAAAATATATTTTAAAAAAAGAAAGAAAGAGAGAGCCTGAAAATCTCAGGAAAGTGGAAATGGAAGGATAATTAATGAAGAATTTTAATCACATACACTTTCTCTACTTATTGAAATGTAAATAACTGTTGCAGTCAGTTTCCTCTGATGTCTGGTAATATCAGTGAATGAAAGTTTGAGGAGACAGGATTTTCAGAATTTCAAACTATCTTTTTCTAAATATTTATTAACTACAAAGAAAAACTAGTAACTTTATAATGGAGAAAACCAACAGATACCACCTTAATCAAGTATTGAGGTTTTCTCCTGTGATATGAGAAAAAAGAATGTAAAAACTCACCTAAAATTGCAGAGAGGTTTGAAAACTGTGGTGCCTTCTCTATTGCTACTGCTTTACTGGTATCCAGAAGAGTAGAATTCTTGCATTGCATGTATTCTTCCAACTTGGGACACTCCCAATCTAACAAAGCAGGGAGAAATGGCACAAAACTTTGAACAATAGCACACAAGTGGCAGGTTACCTTTCCTACTTCAGCTTAGGTCCCCAGCCCATGCACAGTTCTGATAACTAACATTTTGGATGAGAAAGAGAAAAAAGACAAGCCTTGGCCTATTCCCATGCTCTAACCCACTCTTTCAGACTTTTGCCCCAAGGAGATTATTCATCTAAGGGACAGACAGCACACATGGGAGCTCCTTGTCATATTTTATGTATGATATACCTATGTCCCATTAACTATCATATCACTAAATAACATAGTGTTATTACTTGATGTCAGTTTTAAACTTTCCATTGACTTCCCACTATGGGAAATTTAGGCTATTGGCAGTGCCCTCTGTGGTCCTGGATCTGTCTCTTGCTTCAACAGTGTTTGGACAGAACAGATCCAGAGATGCCCCTTCTTCCAGCCTCTGGCCACTCTCTAATGTCTTATCCAGTCACCACCTTCAGAACCACATCTAAGACCAGCCAACACACCGGGTTGTTTTTTTCTACCTTAACTCCTCATTGCTGAACAACCATGAGCTCCCAAATTCGGCAGAATTATTCCACCGAGGTGGAGGCTCTGGTCAACCACCTGGCCAACCTGCACCTGTGGGCCTCTTACACCTACCTCTCTCTGGGCTTCTATTTTGACCTGATAATGTGGCTCTAGAGGGAGTGGGTCACTTCTGAGAGTTGGTGGAGAAGAAGCCCGGGGGCGTTGAGCATTTCTTTTTATTCATTTATTTATTTATTTGTTTGTTTGTTTATTTATTTATTTTTGTTTAAAGTATTACATATGTCTCCTTTCTCCCCATTGACCCTCCCAGCCACACCCACCCCTGAGGGCATTCCTCCACCGCCCCAGTGTCTGTGTACATTGGTTATGCTAATATGCATGCATACAAGTCCTTTGGTTGATCTCTAACCCGCACCCCCCCCCCATTTGTCTCTGGATCTATTTTTGTTCATCAGTTTGTGTTGATCATTATACCCCACATATGTGTGAGATCACGTGATATTTATCTTTCTCTGACTGGCTTATTTCGCTTATCATAAGGCTCTTCAGTTCCACCCATTTTGCAAATGGTAAAAGTCCCTTCTTTTTTATAGCGGCGTAATATTCCATTGTGTAGATGTACCACAGTTTTCTAATTCACTCATCTGCTGATGGGCACTTAGGTTGTTTCAAATCTTAGCTATGGTGAATTGTGCTTCGATGAATATAAGGGTGCATATATCCTTTCTGATGGGTGTTTCTGGTTTCTTGGGATATAGTCTTAGAAGTGTGATTACTGGGTCAAATGGGAGTTCCAATTCTTAAAGTTGCAAAACAAGCACAGTGGCCACATTCTCTTCCAGGAGGTGCTAAAGCTGTCCCAAGATGAGTGGGGCAAAACTCAGGATGCCATGGAAGCCGCCCTGGCCTTGGAGAGGCACCTGAACCAGGCCCTTTTGGAGCTGTCTGCTCTGGGTTCTACCAGTGCAGACCCTCATCTCTGTGACTTCCTGGAGAACCACTTCCTGGATGAGGAGGTGACACTCATCAAGAAGATGGGCAACCACCTGACTAACATCAGCAGGCTGGCCGGCCCCCAGACTAGGCTGAGTAGTATCTCTTCAAAACGCTCACCCTCAAGCACAACTAGGAGCCTTTGGAGCCCAGAGGCTTTTGAGGGGCCCCTCTGCATTCCCCTGGTGTCTGGCTTTTACCTGAGCCTCTCCCCAAACTACTAGCCATTCTTTTAACCACCCTAAAGCCCTCTCCCATGCATTGAACCAAATGAAACAATAAAGTTTTTTGCAGCAAAAAAAATAAAGAAAAATGAGGCTATTCTCTTTTACATCCCTGTTCCCACCTTTCCCATTGTCCTCATATTACTATATCACATATTTAATTAGATGAACATTCAATGTAGACATTATGGTAATGTCTACATAAAAAACACTATTATTCTTGTGGTATACTATGACTACCTTTTGCTTTCCCTGGGGTTAATAAAAGTCTTTTCTCTATTTTTCATCTATTTAACCTAAAACTACAAAATTGTATAAATCCATCCTATTTATTCCATTCTCTGGTGTTCTGAAGTTCATAATGCTCTATCTTGGTGTTTTTCATGTTGTGCTAGGCTCTTTTAAACCAGAATATTCTTTAGAAAATTTTGTTATTGATTTCAGAGAGGAAGGGAGAGGGAGAAAAAGATAGAAACATCAATGATGACAGAGAATCATTGATCGGCTACCTTCTGCATGCCCCCTTTTGGGGGTGGGACCCATAACCCAGGCATGTGCCCTGACAAGGAATTGAACCATGACCTCCTGGTTCATAGTTCAAATGCTCAACCGCTGAGCCACACTGGACAGGCATTAAGGCTAACATTCCATTAAATGTACATACTATATTTTCTTTATGCATTCATCCACCCATAGACATTTAAGTTATTTCCACTCTTGGCTATCTATATATATAAGCACCTAAGCGACTGAACGACCAAAGGACAGGCCAACTGATCACTATGATGCGCACTGACCACCAGGGGGCAGACGCTCAACGCAGGAGCTGCCCCTTGGTGGTCAGTGCACTCCCACAGGGGGAGCACCATTCAGCCAGAAGCCGGGCTCACGGGTGGCGAATGCAGAGGCGGTGGCAGGAGCCTCTCTCACCTCTGCGGCAGTGCTAAGGATGTCCAATTGCCAGCTTAGGCCGCCTCCCAAGGAGAGCAGACCTAAGCCGTAAGTCAGACATCCCCCGAGAGCTCCCGGACTGCAAGAGGGCACCAGGCCTCTAGTTTTGGATAAATATCCAAAAGTGGGATTACTGGATCATATGATAGTTCCACTTTCAATTTTTTAAGGAACTTCCATATTGTTTTCCATAATAGTTGTATCATTTTACATTCCCATCAAAAGGGTAGGGTTCCAATTTCTCCACATCCTTGCCAACACATCTTTTTAAAAATAACCATTCCAACAGATATGGTGGTATCTCATTGTGGTTTTGATTTGCATTTCCCTGACTAGTGATGTTGAATGTCTTTTTATATATCTGTTGGCTAGTTGTGTCTTCTTTGGAGGAAAAAAAAAACCTATTCAAGTCCTTTACCCATTTTTAATCATGTTATTTGTGTTCCCCTCCCCATCCCCCAGTTGGAGGAATTTCTTAATATATTTTTTAAAATATATTTTTATTGATTTCAGAGACTGAGCAATATATTTTTGAATACTAATCCCTTATCATATATGAAGTTTGCAAATATGTTTTCCAATTTTGTAGGTTGCCTTTACACTGCTCATTGTTTTTGCTGTGCAAAAGCTTTTTTGGTTTGTATGTAGTTCCAGTTGTCTATTTTTGCTTTTGTTACCTGTGCTTATGGTGTCATATCCAACAAATCATTGCCAAAACCAATGTCATGAAGTTGTCCCCTATGTTTTCTTCTAGGAGTTTTATAGATTTTGATCTTATGTTTACATATTTAATCCATTTTTAGTTGATTTTTGTGTATGGTGTAAGGTAAGGGTCCAATTTCACTTTTTGTGTGTGGATATCGTTTCCCAACATCATTTGTTAGACTACTCTTTCCTCATGTATTTTTGGCATCCTTGTCAAAGATTAGGTGACTGCATACACATGGATTTATGTCTGGGCTCTCTATTCTGTTCTACCTGGTTTATGTCTCTTTATGCCAGTATCATATGGTTACTGTAAAATATAATTTGCAATATATTTTGAAATCAAGAAATTCTGATTTTCTATCTAGACATTCTGTCTATTATGTGAAAGTGAGGTATCTAAATTCTCCTACTATTGTATTATTTTATTGCCTGTTTTTGCTTCTAGTTATGTCAGTGTATACTTTATATGTTAGATACTCTGATGTTGGGTGCATATTTATTTAAAATTGTTATATGTTCCTAGTGAGTTGAACCTTTTATCATTATATAATGTCCTTTTTTTGTCTTTTGTGATAGGTCTTGACTTAATTTCTATTTTACCTAAGTATAGCCATTCTTGCTCTATTTTGGTCACCATTTACATAGAATGTCTTTTTGTATCCCTTCATTTTCAACATGTGTGCCCTTAAGTCTAAAGTGAGTCAGTCTTTTAAAAACCACTCAGCCGCCGAAACCGGTTTGGCTCAGTGGATAGAGCACCAGCCTGTGGACTGAGAGGTCCCGGGTTCGATTCCGGTCAAGGGCATGTACCTGGGTTGCGGGCACATCCCCGGTGGGGGATGTGCAAGAGGCAGCAGATCGATGTTTCTCTCTCATCGATGTTTCTAACTCTATCTCTCTCCCTTCCTCTCTGTGAAAAATCAATAAAATATTTTTTTAAAAAAGTGGATTAGAATAGCCTCAGCCAGCGATTCAGAGCTGGGTGTTTCATTTAAAATAAATAAATAAATAAATAAATAAATAAATAAATAAATAAATAAATACAAACCACTCAGCCACTATCTTTTGATTGGGGAGTTTAATCCACTTACATTTAAAGCAATTATTGATAGTGAAGGACTTACTATTACTATTTTGTTAATTGTTTTTGATAGTCCTTTTGTCCTTTTTCCTGTCTTGCCATCATCCTTTATTTTTTATTGATGTACATATTGACATGCTTTAACATCTTTCTATTTTTCTTTTGTGTATCTTCTATAGGTATTTTCTTTGTGGTTACCATGAAACTTAGTTTTAACATAAAACTAATAAAAACTTCAATCATATACAAAAACTCTACATTTTCCTTTTCCCCTCACAGTTATTGCTGTTACAATTCACATCTTTTTACATTGTGTATTAACATATTTTATAGTTATATTTTAAATAGTCTTTTAACTTTTATACTAGAATTACGTGAATTGCATACCAATTACAGTATTAACTATTCTGTATTTGTCTACATACTTACTAGTGTTTTATGCTTTCATATTGCTGTTTAGAATCTTGTTTCAATGTGAAAAACTCCCTGCAGCATTTTTTATCAGGCATGTCAAGAAATGACTAATCCTTTCAGCTTTTGTCTGTCTGGAAAGGTCTTTATCACTTCATTGTGATTTTAAGGATAGTTTTGCTAGTTATAGTATTCTTGACTGACAGTTTTTTCTTTCCCCACTTTGACTGTATCATTTCACTACCTTCTGGCCTGCAAGGTTTCTGCTAAGAAATATATTTATGGTCTCAGGGGGTTCCCATTGGCATATCAAGCCACTTTTCTATTGCTGCTTTTAAATTCTTTTTGACTTTGACAATTTGTGTGTCCTAGTGTAGATTTCTCTGGGTTATCTTATTTGAAGTTCGTTGTGCTTCCTAGAATTGAATACACATTTCTTTTCCCAGATTTGGGATTTTTTAGCCATTGTTTCTGTGAATAAGCCTCTCTCTGGAATAAATATTTTGACCTGTTTGATTTTTCTCTTCACTCTGAATTCACTAATTCTTTCTTCTGCTTGATCTAGTTGGCTATTGAATCCTTTTATTAGATTTTTCAGTTCATTTATTATATTCCTTAGCTCTAAGATTTCTGTTTGATTCTTAAAAAGTTTTCTATGCCTTTCTTGGAATTCTCACTACTTTCATGCATTGCTCTCCTAAGCTCATTGAACATCTTTAGTGATGATTATTTTGAATTCTGTTAGATAAGTGAGATGAAAACTTGCATGCTAGACCAAGCTGCTATCTTTGTTCTCATCACCCATCAGTCTTCTAGAGTATGTCAGGTCCCATAAGTACTCTGGAACAGGCAAAATGGTATCCAATCCTTTGGGTAGCTCCAAAAAAATTTAGAATGTTTGATGCATGGTTCAGTCCTTTCCTTCGCTTCCAGGGAGAATCTTGGAGCTAGGGATTTCATGCCAATTATATGGCACCATGCTGGAAGTGAGGTTTATGGTGGAAGGGTGTCTTGAATTTTCCTCCTGGTTTTGATGTGGCTGGTTTCATGCTTTTCTGAGGTTAAGAAGCCCCTCAACTAGTTTCTAGATTCCTCACAAATGGGATTAGTTTATGTATTGCTGTTGAATTGGTGGGTAGGAGGGTCCATGGCTTCCTATTTCAACAGCTTTCTGATGTCACTCCCATATTTTGCTTTGTTTTTATCTCTATGTTTTATGCTAGAGACTCCTCAGAAGTCTGGTGATTCCTGGCTCTCTGCTAACATTTAAGAGGGAGCCCAAAAAGCTTCAATGAACTCTTTGTGGCCTAATTGTGGCTTGTCACAAGGTTGACTTCACTGTAGGGTGTTCTTGTCAGTTTCATCAAAGTACTACTATAGTCACTATCTTTAGATATGTTTTTCTAGGGTTGCTCAGATTTCTTAGGAAACTGTCTTCCATTCTCCTGTCTGGAAGGTTCAAGTCTGGGTGCTAGCATTCTGGAAACTGAGCAGAGAAATGAGCTGTTGGGTAGGATGAGAATAGGCATTGGTAAACAGGTCCCACAATTTAGAATGTATAGTTTCATTTATTTTTTTTCTAATATATTTTTATTGATTTCAGAGAGGAAGGGAAAGGGAGAGAGAGAAACATCAATGATGAGAGAGAATCATTGACAGGCTGTCTCCTGCATGCCCCCTACTGAAGATCAAATCCGCAACCTGGGCATGTGCCCGTGACCAGAATCGAACTGGGCTCTATCCACTGAGCCAAACCGGTTAGGGCTATAGTTTCATTTAAATCGCCCCTCTTCTGTGTTCAATACATTATCTGAAGAAGTTCGCTTTTTCTGTATAATAAATAACCCCAAAATTTCAGTGGCATAAAATGAAAGCATTTATTAATTATTCCCGTGTCTACTGGTTGGCTCAGGCAGCTCTGCTTTAGATTCCAGGTGTGCTGATCAATTGGGCAGCCCTCTGCACTCTCCAGATTGCCTGGGCCACTCTGCTCTGTGCCGGTTATTCAGGGGTCCCACTGGAGCTAATTAGGATATATTCTTCTCTTGATGGCAAACGTGTAAGAGGACAAGCCGACCATTTAAACATATTTCAAAGGTTTGTATATGTTTCATTCACTAATATCATATTGCCAAAGCAAGTCACATTGCCAACTCCAAAGCCAAAGCATGAAAAGGAGGTTTTGGTGAGGAAGGGAAGTATGCTTTCTCAAAAAGATCATTATTCATTGGAAGTTTGTGGACAAAGGAACAATTTTTATAGTGGAGCAACTTAAAATTGAAATTATTTTCTTACCTAAATAATCTGATCCTCTGAAGAGTTCAGGTGATGGGAAGCTACTTAAATTCTCTTCAAAACTCTTGCATTCTATAGAAGAATCTGTGATTGAATAGCTTAGAAGAGAGCTAGAAATATCATGCTGCAAACTTAGTCCTGTAGAATAAACAATCAAAAAGGACAAAATGTTTAAATAGTAAACAGATTCAAAATCTTAAGAATTCAAATTTGTAGAAATGTACTTGTAGTTGTATGTCAAGAAAGTAAAATTATTTCTATATACAAATGAAAAAATATACTATTGGTAAACCATTTTATCTTAGAAAATAATTGTTTTTGATGTAGAGAAAATGCATTATAACCCTTTTCCATTGTTTTTCAAAGTTTTATAACTTATTCCTTCCTTATTTTGGTTCAGTTATAATTCTTGACTCAAAAATCTAAGTTCAATATATAAGTTACCCACTAACTAGCTGAAGAGAAGAAAGGGTGATTCTAGTAATTCCATTCAGAAAATAATGTGCCTAAATGTAGACAAATAAGTCAAAGGAACTGAATAGAGAGCCCAGAAATAGACTCACACATATATGAGCAACTGATTTTTATCCAAGATGCAAAGGCAATTCAGTGGAGAAAAAATATTCTTTTCTAAAAAATTATGCCAGAACTGAATACCCATATGCAAAAGCAAAACAAAAAATTTGCACTTGCCCTGACCGGTTTGGCTCAGTGGATAGAGCGTCGGCCTGCAAACTCAAGGGTCCCAGGTTTGATTCCGGTCAAGGGCATGTACCTTGGTTGTGGGCACATACCCAGTGGGGAGTGTGCAGGAGGCGGCTGATCGATGTTTCTCTCTCATCGATGTTTCTGACTCTCTGTCTCTCTCCCTTCCTCTCTGTGGGAAATCAATAAAATATATTTTTAAAAAAATTTGCACTCATATCTTCAATCATATAAAAAATTAACTATTAATGTATCATAGATCTAAATATAAATCCTAAAACTACAAAATTTCCCCCCCAAAAAACAACAAAAAAAAAAACAGAGAAAATCTTCATGATATTGGGTTAGATTTCTTTTTTTTTTAATTTTTTTATTGATTAAGTCTGTGGTCGGCACTCTGCGACTCGCGAGCCACATGCGGCTCTTTGGCCCCTTGTGTGTGGCTCTTCCACAAATACCATGTGCGGGTGCGCACGTATAGTGAGATTGAAACTTCGTGGTCCATGCGCAGAAGTCGGTTTTCGGCCTGGGCGAGTCTATTTTGAAGAAGTACTGTTGATATTTGGCTCTGTTGACTAATGAGTTTGCCGACCACTAGTTACATATGTGTCCTTATCCCCATGTTACCCCCTGTCCTCCCCCCTACTCATTCCTTCACCCCCCTGTTGTTTGTGTCCATTGGTTAGGCCTATATGCTTGCATATAAATCCTTTGGTTGATCTTTGATATAACAATAAAAAGGTAAGTCATTAAAACAATAGAATGATAAATTAGACTTCATCAAATTTAAAATTTTCTCTTCAAAAGAGACTGTTAATATGAAAAATAAGCCACAAATTAAGAGAAAAGATTTGCAAATGCAATGGAATTCAGAATATAAAGAACTGGCCCAGCTGGTGTGGCTCAATGGTTGAGGGTCAACCCATGAACCAGTAGCTCACGGTTTGATTCCCAGTCAGGGCACATGCCCAGTTGCTGGGCTTGATCCCCAGTGGGGTACGTGCAGGAGGCAGCCAGTCAATGATTCTCTGTCATCATGATGTTTCTATCTCTCTCTCCCTCTCCCTTCTTCTCCCTGAAATCAATAAAAAAAAATGTTAAGTAAAAGAACTCTGAAAACTCAATAATAAGGGGGGGAAAAAATCTCAGTAAGAAAATGGGCAAAATATTTTAACACAGAATCTCCCAGACTCAAAGGTCTTAAAGTCATCCTTGTGAGAGTGGACTAGAATAAAGAATTTTCCAGTAAATTATTATGATAGAACTCTTTTCACAGTTAATTTCTATTCATCTCTTTGCATATATAATTTCTACTCTTCTTCAGATATGAATTAAATTGCTATTCCCTCATGGAAGCCCTCCCTAATCTCCCAACCAAAACTCAATTAGTTACACTAAAGTCAATCCCTTTTTTGTAGCACTTATCACAATTGTAATTTACTGGTCTGTTAGAAGATAAGGGCCAGAGCCCTGGCTGAAGGAGTCATCTTAGACTAGGAGAAAAACACCTCTTTCACTGAAATGGGAAGATGACAGAGATATAAATTGATGCATATGCTTATAAAAAAGAAAACTGAGGGAGTTCACATCTGACCATCTTACCTGATACTAGTTCACCAGCTGATGAATTACTGTCAATCTGGAGATCATCAGTCACTGAATCCTATGTGAAATAAGAATTAAAGATAACACAAATTATGAGATTGAATATTTTTATATTATAATATTGTATCACATTGATTTGGTCATTTTGAAAATGAAAAACTAAGATCAACTTCGTATATTAGTTTCATATGTATAATAGATCCTTTTAGCTTACTGATCACAGATATAATTTGGTACTTAATATTAAATCTGAAAATAAGTTATAGACATGTCTAGGGAGTCAACAAAATAACTGTCAGTTAACTACTATGGGATACCCCAGAAACCAGAAGATAAAGGTGAATATCTTCCTGATCCCCTAAGTAGGAAGGGTTTTCTTCCTTATACATGAAACAAAATAGATCAAAAAATTGACAGCTAAGTCTAAAATACCAGAAATAAAATTAAAGGCCAAAATATATGGAAATATTTGTTATATATGTGTGTGTAAAAGTATAACTATCTTCAGTATATAATAAACAACTATTTCACAAAAAAGAAACACAAATGGCCAATGAAATAAGAGAAAAAATTTTTACCTTTACTAGCATTCAAAGAAATGGAAAGTGAAACAATATTCCACTTTTCATCTATCAAATTTGGCCTGATCCGCACAGGCCAGGCCGAGGACCCCACAGGTGCACGAATCCGTGCACCGGGCCTCTAATATATGCATATAAGATCTTTGGTTAATCTCTTCCTGCCCTCCCCCCTCCCCCATTCCCTCTGAGATTCATCAGTCTGTTCCATGTTTCCATGCCTGTGCATTGAGCATCTGCCTCCTGGTGGTCAGTGCATGTCATAGCTAACGGTCGAATGGTCAAATGGTCACTTAGGCTTTCATATAAATAAACAAATAAATACACACACACACACACACACACACACACCATATATATATTAAGTTTCAGGTAAGATGGTGCTGATTTACCAGCATGAATAAAAAAATTTAAATATGATCCAACCTTTGACTCATTGGAAAGTATTTTTCTTGGGACAACAATCGAGGAACACAAAAAACCTTCTGCAGTAAGATATCCACTGATAACTATAACAGCAAAACCTTGGAAACAATTTTAATCCTCCAACTACAGGAAAACAGTTATTCAAATTATAATATATCTGTAAGACAATGCATTATGCAAGACACTAAAAATTATATCTATATATTTAAATATTTTTATTGTTTTGTGTGGGTTTTTTTTAGAGAGAGAAGAAGGGAGAGGGAGAGAGCAACATTGATATGAGAGCAGAACATTGATCTGCTACCTCCTGCACACCCCCTACCTGGGATCTAGCCTGCTACCCAGGCATTTGCCAGGAATCAAACTGGCAACCTTTCAGAGTATGGGACAATGCGCAACCAACTGAGCCACACCGGTCAGGGCTAAAAAGCATATTTTTGAAGACTATTTAATGTTAAAGGAATTTACAATACCATAACTTGTAAAATGAAAAAAAGGCACAAAATCAGAATAGGAAGAAATATATAAAAATTAGAAGAAGCTGCTTAAAACACGAGTAGTTTGAATCATCTACAAGGAACACTTAATAGTTATAATTGAAGGGAAAAGCCTTAAAAAATGCTTTTTGCTGAATATGCCCTTCAATAAAAAAACAAACAAACATGCTGGAGAGAAAATACTGGAACATAACTATCAACTTTAATGCTAATATCAGATGAGTCACAAATAATTTTTTATATCCAAGTCTCTCCAAACTACTGCTACCCATCTTTAAAATACTGAACAGAGTCCATATTAAATGCAGATCAAAAAGTTATATAACATTCTAAAGGTAATGAATCCTGTTTCTAGTCATTAATGGGAAAATATGAAAATGACTTTAAAATGTTACCAAACATAAGGGAGTTAGAAACACAAGAAACATTAGAAAGGTTTTATATCTGTCATGCAGAAAATTAGCCAGTGTCAGACTATTCTGAAATTTTTGTCAAGGGAAAGGAAAAACAAAAATGCATGGCTATGAATCTGCCAGAATCAGAAATTCAAGGCTCTGTCTGAAGACACAGCATCAATGTTCATAAAAACATTAAAAAGCTATGTAGTCTCTACTGAACAAAGACCACATTATACTTTCATCTGGCGGTACAGCAGGTACTGCTGGTTTGTCCGCTAAGTGTATCCACGGGTCATAGGAGAAACATACATACGCTCAATGGAGCAATCTTCTCATCCTCAGTCTCTTCTTCACTAGTGCTACTTTCCCGCAGGCTTCTCTCTCCTGCAACTCCTAATTGAGAGCTAACAGACAAACAACACGATTAGTTTGCACCGTCTGGCCTTGGTTCTCCAGGTCTCTGTTCCCTCTGGCACACCGTTCAGACTCTGAAAGGCTCTTTGGGGGACAGCCTTAGGGAAAAGGAAGGAGCAGAATTGGTGAACTGCACCAATACCCAACTGATGCCATGAATGCTTTCTGGGTGTTTTATCTCACTTGCTTTTAGGTGAGTTGGCAAAATTTCCTCTTTTAAATAGTTATTTTCTGAAGTCAAATTTCTGGGTCTATGTTCTGAGAAGAACGGAATCAGAGTTTCTATTTATTTATTTTCTTCGTTGACTCTGAGATGAGAGGCTCTTGCTGCTAGAAAATTAGGATTGCAGGTTTGAGGAGGAGGCCAGAATGCACAGGGCTGTTCCTCGCTGCTACGCACCTGGGCAGCCCAGGGCTGCTACCGCCCCGCCCACTGCGCTCCGCGTTCTCGGCGATCTTCAGCAGCCCGTGAGCTTTGCCGAGTCCTTTCGGGCCTGAAGGACGTCGGCTCGTGTCAGATCTACGACTAGTAGGCAGCATCTAGCTACTGGGTCCTGGGGCGAG